ACCTTCTCGTAAAAATTTCGAAACGATCGAGTAACAATCTAATAGATTTCGAACTTCTTGCAAAATTATCCGGATACAAATCGTTCTAATATTCATCAATTTAAGAAACGATCCAATTCGCAAAGATTTCTAAATCAAGTAACAACGTTACTCCAATATTACTCTTGCAAAATTATCCAAATACGAATTTAAGAAACGAAACGATCCAATTCGTTTCTCGAAAAAATTTCTAAACGATCAAGTAATAAACGTTATTTTTCCAACCTTTTGCAAAATTATCTTGATATATTCGTTGGGTACAAACTGTTTTGATGAATTTAAGAAATGAAACGATCCAATTCGCTTCTCGAAAAAATTTCTAAACGATGAGAATCATGAATTTAATTCGCAAAAATTTCAAAACGATCAGACATTGAACGAATAGCCTTGAACAGAATGACGCCGCGAGGACAATTTTTGTGAGAAGAATTTGGACGATCCTTCGCTTTGTAAATATTTAAAAACGATTCATTCGGTGCGGTTGAGACGATATTCTCCAACCAATCTCAATGGCAATCGGTATCATCCCACTCGAGAAGAAATTATTGCAAACGTTTGAGGAACAATTTCGCTTGGGGACTTTGATTCCTCTTCATCTCTAAGAGAATTTTTCTTATTTATATAGTATATATATATATAGTATTTGAGGTGTCGCTTAGATCAGATGGGATTATCGATCGCTTATCGATCGATCTTGCGATCTCGCGAGAGGTTTTCGAGAGAATTCTTCGAACCTTAAAAACTTTCAGAACGTCGAATTTTTCGAATTTTCAGAATCCTCCAACTTTCAAAAATTTTAACGTTATCGTTACGTCGCTCTTCATAAAATCACACTGATACCCTATGGGCGACTATGGGCGACTATGGGCGAGTACCTTTCTCTGGAAATGTAGCATCAATATTTTGTTTTCATCATTTGTTTCATTCTATAATATTATTTGATTCCAAAGTGATAATTAAATACGAGTGCGTTTAAAAGTTACAAATATATTAATATTTTGTTTTCATCATTTGTTTCATTCTATAATATTATTTGATTCCAAAGTGATAATTAAATACGAGTGCGTTTAAAAGTTACAAATATATTAATATTTTGTTTTCATCATGTGTTTCATTCTATAATATTATTTGATTCCAAAGTGATAATTAAATACGAGTGCGTTTAAAAGTTACAAATATATTAATATTTTGTTTTCATCATGTGTTTCATTCTATAATATTATTTGATTCCAAAGTGATAATTAAATACGAGTGCGTTTAAAAGTTACAAATATATTAATATTTTGTTTTCATCATGTGTTTCATTCTATAATATTATTTGATTCCAAAGTGATAATTAAATACGAGTGCGTTTAAAAGTTACAAATATATTAATATTTTGTTTTCATCATGTGTTTCATTCTATAATATTATTTGATTCCAAAGTGATAATTAAATACGAGTGCGTTTAAAAGTTACAAATATATTAATATTTTGTTTTCATCATTTGTTTCATTCTATAATATTATTTGACTCCAAACTGAGTAATTAAATACGAGTGCGTTTAAAAATTACAAATATATCAGTATTTTGTTTTTTTATCATTTGTTTCATTCTATAATATTATTTGATTCCAAACTGAGTAATTAAATACGAATGCGTTTACAAGTTACAAATATATCAGTATTTTGTTTTTATCATTTGTTTCACTATAATATTATTTGATTCCAAACTGAGTAATTAAATACGACTGCGTTTAAAAATTACAAATATATCAGTATTTTGTTTTTATCATTTGTTTCATTCTATAATATTATTTGACTCCAAATTGAGTAATTAAATATGAATACTTTTAAGAGTTACAAATATATCAGTATTTTGTTTTTATCATTTGTTTCATTCTATAATATTACTTGACTCCAAACTGAGTAATTAAATACGTTTACAAATTACAAATATATCAGTATTTTGTTTTTATCATTTGTTTCACTAAATATTATTTGACTCCAAAGTGATAATTAAATACGAATGCTTTTAAAAGTTACAAATATATTAATATTTTGTTTTCATCATTTGTTTCATTCTATAATATTATTTGACTCCAAACTGAGTAATTAAATACGTTTACAAATTACAAATATATCAGTATTTTGTTTTTATCATTCGCTTCACTAAATATTATTTGACTCCAAAGTGATAATTAAATACGAATGCTTTTAAAAGTTACAAATATATTAATATTTTGTTTTCATCATTTGTTTCATTCTATAATATTATTTGACTCCAAACTGAGTAATTAAATACGAGTGCTTTTAAAAGTTACAAATATATTAGTATTTTGTTTTTATCATTTGTTTCACTATAATATTATTTGATTTCAAAGTGAGTAATTAAATACGATTGTATGTAATATCATTTCATACAATTCCAAAGTGATAATTAAATACGACTGCGTTTAAAAATTACAAATATACCAGTATTTTGTTTTTATCATTTGTTTCATTCTATAATATTATTTGACTCCAAACTGAGTAATTAAATACGTTTACAAGTTACAAATATATTAATATTTTGTTTTTATCATTTGCTTCACACGCTTTACACCATTATTAACAGTTACTATTATCGTTACAATTATATCACATTATTATATTCTATAATATTATTTGACTCCAAACTGAGAAATTAAATACGATTGCATTTAAGAGTTACAAATATATCAATATTTTATTTTTATCATTTGTTTCACTATAATATGTTTCATTCTATAATATTATTTCATTCCAAATCGAGTAATTAAATACAAATGTATTTAAAACTCACAAATATCCCCTCTCGAATTTTCTTTTCGAACACGTGGAAGCATTCTATTTGCAACGAACCATAAACAACCAAACCCCTATCTATTCCTTTACCAAACCTCGCTTTCGATGAAACACCTTTACCATCCAATAGCTCCAACATATATAAATAATATATACATAAATTAATATAATCTCCCTATATATACCTGCATATACCAACAACAAAAAAAAAAAATACCCAATTACATTCCGCCTTTTCTCAATTCCCCAGGTAACCCTGCCAATCCTCGGACGCTTGTACAGAGGATGGACGGTCGGATCGTGGGTGGCGAGGCGACGACCATCCACGAGGCGCCGTACCAGATCTCCCTTCGCAAGGACGGCTACCACATATGCGGCGGGAGCATAATAAGCGCCGAGTGGGTGTTGACCGCGGGCCACTGCTCCTCTTACCCCCTG